GGCTACTACAGTATAAGGTTATAAAATAGGGGCCTTGATATTTAGCAGTTGTCTCTGACCACTGCCATGACCGCTCGCATCGAGACACTTGTGTAATACAGGGGCCTTAATGATTAGAATAGGGTTTTGGGGACCATTATACCGTCTGTACTTATAGTAAGGAACGCCCAAAATGGTATTGGTAATTATTTCGGCCCCGGAGTACGTAATTCGGGTGTGTTCCAAAACTAGGGGCACCCTGTGAATGGTGTTTAGGGTTATGACTTTGGATTCTGCGTGGTGGGCCATGATCTCAAATATTCATTTTTTACAATTAATTTATGATGTATGTATGTTTCGTGGATTTCTTGTTTTATGGGTATTTTATGGTTTTTTACACTTCAGATTATCTCATTCGCGCAGCTTCTCTGACATGATTGTCTTGTTCTTATGACTAGACACATGAGCCCGCATCCAGTTCATATCATCTGTGCATTGGCTCAGCACGAAGCTCCTTTGCAGGCTGTTTGGGAAACACGGCTTCCTTTTTAAACCTTTTTAAACACGACAACGCTACACACACAAGCTATGATTATATACTCTTTAATTAAACATTCCCCCTCCCCCATGTACTGAAGCTAGAGCGTTTTAAGCAACTGGTCGTTTTCGTGTGCAAATCAAGTTTAGACACCCCGCATGGTACGGCGATGACGCGTCTATAAGATCTAAAATTGATCTCTAGGGCCGGGAGCCGGGGAGGGGGCCTGGGCTGGGACGGTGGCTGCGGCCAGGGGCAAGGGGGGTGGAAGGGGGGATGGGGGTGCTTTCGGGAGCATAAAAAAAATATAAAAAAATCCATAAAAGAATCATAAAAAATCCATAAATAAATCATAAAAAATCCAGAAATAAATCATAAAAAAATCATAAATTCCTTGGGTTTTTATATAAAAACCAAAATTCCGCCCCCTCCCCGTCCTCATTCCGAGGACCCCTGCTCGCGCCCCTACCCTCTCTCCCGCCACTCAAACCACCCCCCCCCTCTGCACCCCAGCGCCCCTGCCCCCTCCACCCCCGGCACACCCCCCTCCCTCCAACCCTTGCCCTCCTTCCTAGTCTGAATTGGCCTTTTGGTTGCCCCGCAAAGCTGGACAAGCCCTCGAACCGGATTGCTGCGTGCAGAAAAACGCGGTGGCGAGACCAGGCACTGCAAATTGCCTTTTTTTGCCCACCCGTGTGAGTTCGTAATTAACCTCTACAATTATATCGCATGGTGTTCATGCGCTAATATGAGAGGCCCCGCGCAGGTTTGAAACAGGTGCACTGTTATTCGTGCAATGGTGTAGTCTCGGTTACAGATTCTATCGTCATCCGGATGCTGTCGAAAAACGAGTGTAAATAAATCGTAAAATAATTGTAAAGAAATTGTATATCCAGGTTTGCTAAATAAACAGTCATCCTATGTAATCGTAAAAAATCATAAACCGCAGATTCGGTGATTCATAAAATAAGTGTAAATATATTGTAAAAATAAATATCTACAGAATCGTGCCCCTCGCAGAGAACACAAAGTCATAAGTTTAGGGGGTTGAATATGGATTCTGTAGGATTCCCAAACTTCTTAGTGCGGTCCTCGCCTTGATTCGCGGAGGGATCCTTCTTATAATTCAAGGTATCCGCCTTCCTTCAAGAATTTTGAAGTTTCCGGGTATTTTCGTGCAAAGAAGCCCTTCTGACGTATTGAAGCCTGCAGCAGAGGAAGTAGAAGAGAAGACCTGCGAGTCAAATACTATGAAAGTTCAGCCGAACCCGAACCCCCGCAACCCTAAACCTGAACCTGTGAGCTGGTCTTCAATGAGTACCCAAAACCCGCAACCCGAATCTTCGAAGCCGAAACCCGAAACCAGAAACCCCAAACCTCAGATGCTAATCGCGAAACCCTACACCCCGAAGCTAAGCCCGCAAACCCTAAGCCCTTGACCCTAAACACGCTAAACACCAAACCCGGACCAAACCCTAAACCCTACGCCCTAGTTTGGACCTGTCTGAACCCGTGGAGTTAGGACACAATAAAGCATCATGAAAGTACATTCAAACATCGAGCCATTGCCATAGACTTTAAAGGTCTACATGTGTATATGTATACAAATCTTACATATGTATATACATGCCTAATTGTACATGTAAATATGCATTTGTGGTATGGTATTGCATGATATGATATGAAGTGAACTGACGTGGTATGATATGACGTGGTATGATGTGGTATGATATGGGAACAAGTTAGGAGAAGACAACAGAAGACATAAGTATGGACTGCACTAGACGAGCAACAGAAATAGACAGCGGAATCATAGAACACATAATAGTGTAATGTTTTGCTACGTATATGTATGTATGTATGTATGTATATATATATATATATATGTGTAGCACTGTTCCTGGTTTGAGGGCTCCGAACGTGATTCAGACTCTGCATGCTGTCTGTTTCTATGGGTACTTTTCCACATGTTACGTGTGCTCCTCCACGGCGGCGGCTCAGGCAACGAAGCAGAAGTCAGAGGCTCGATCACCTGTTTCCTAGCTCTATACACCCTAAACCCTAACCTTCCGTTTACGGACGAAAGCCTGGTGGCAGGAGTTTCCCAGCACTGGGGCAGCTTGTTTAGGGGGTCCCGAAAAGATTCTTTCCTAAAGGGAACTTGGCAACCCTAAACCCTATAAACCTTAACCCGTTCTTCTGGCCTCCCCGGCAGCACCAGGGACCGGGACTCTACATCCCTGCAACCCGAGTCCATCGCCAGGTCCAGAACCATCGCAACGCGCTCCTCCTCCGCAACATACATTTGGGGGTCGCTAAGACGGGGCCAAGGTGGCAGGATCTTTCTGGAACCCTCAGTTAGTAATTAGTGGTCATGAAGCCCTGACAGCCCTAAACCTTGAACCCTTTCCCGCTCTCCCGGGGGTCCTCTGGTGTTCCCTGGTCTGTCTACTTGCCGATGTCTCTACCATCGCTTGAAGGTTTCATCGGGCGAACTATGCGAGAAAGAAGAGATATGCTACACATGTCTGAGTATATGTATGGCAGGTGCGAAGGCTCATAGGACACGTTCAGGCATGCAGCTGCGTATGTATGGAGCCGCGAACACATACACCCCTGCATGCAGATGGCTTCAGGATGTGACGAGGCAGGCACGTTGTGTGGCCCGGCACATTCCCGAAAAAAGATGAGGCTCACAGTCGATTAGCTACTGCACGATACGGGCATCGCGGAGGATCCTGATGGAAAGCGGTCGGTGGAGGTGGTCAGAAAGCAGCGCACTCATCAGCAACGTTCCCATGCCCTGGCAAAACATACTATAGTGGCCTTAATAATTCATTAGAATAGGGTTTGGTGCCCACTATACTGTAACTATCACAAGGACCCCCCCCAAAAAAAATAGCATGGGTAGTTTTTAAGGCCCCAGTATAATACGGAGACCCCCCCCCCAAACAAAACAAAATAGCATGAGTAATTCTTAAGGCCCCGATAGTACCCGGCAAAGGATCGAGTTCCGAGAGTTTGCGAACCAGAAGGCGCTTCACGATGCGTCGAAGCCACAGGTTCGCGACTTGGGGGCTTCGTTCGAGCTCGGGAGGTGTATGACGATGATGAAGACGATGAAGACGACACTCATGCAGATGACGATGCTCGTGATGGAGGCGGTTTTGATGATCATAACGATGTGCATGCATATGCTTATAGTTATGCTTGATGCTGCTGACGAAGGACATGATGCGGGCAACAAACGTTGCTGCTTATTCAGCGTGCTGCTCTTGCTGCGAAAAGCTGGCAGTAGCAGTCGCAGTAGCAGCAGCAACAGTCACAATAATCTGTCTGGTGCTTAGTAGGGAATGAGGGAATGGATCGCTATAGTAGTCCCTGTAGTCCGCAGAAATAGTCCCCAATAGTAGCAACAATTAGCGGCAGACGTAGCAAGCCCTATTGAAGACCCTCAGCCTGTGACGCCAGGCTGCCTTGTGCTTCCCCCTCCTTCCGGCGCCGCCGCAGCGTCGCCGCCGCCGTCCTCGGGCTTTCCTCTGAGAGTAATGTGGAACCTGACTAAGAAACCCTGGCCATATAACCCAAAAATAGTGGGATTCATATAAGGAACCCTAATAAAGGCCCAAGGTTTCTTCCTATATTACCAGCCTTTTGATTGAAAGGGCTGATAAGTCCGCAGTCTAGTCGGCGTCGGCTTGGTATTCCTGGGAGCTTGGATGCGGGAAGTACGAGATTCAGAGTTTATATAAGCTTCACACCAGAGCCAAGACCCTAAACCCCCACATCGCGCTTCTCGAGTCACGAGCTGACTTCGGCTGAATCCAGAATTTGCGGAGCTTCAGGAAGTAGGAGCCGTAGTGTACTGACGTAGATCCCCAAAAGTAGGAGCCTTACTAGGACGACTCCTACATCAGGCAACCTCGAAGGAAAAGAACCCCCCCCCATGTTGGGCACGCTTAAGCTCAAGAATGCGGAAGCTTTTCACATGGAGCTCGACTCTCAGAGGGGACTTGTTAACGAACCGAGAGTGCACACGATGCGTGTTTGCACGTTCTCAGGGCTTGTAAGGTACAGTGCCACTTTGCATCGTGTGCCTCTGACATGGGAGCCCTCCATCAAAGTTATGGACAAGGGTCCCGTCGATTGACAATCGTCTTTGGCGAGCGCTTGCGGAGACGAAAAGAGACTCTGCCGACTTTTGCTTTGTGATGCAGCGCCATTGCCAGATGTAGTCCAACTTGATAGAGCTTGAAGCCACCCTGCGTCGTGACTTTCATTTTCAGTCTGTGTCCTATGCCGCTGGACTGAGTGACTTAAGGACATGAATGGGTCACAAGCCCGAGCCCATCAGACACACGGCAGCAACAGCCCTGCACAAGCCGAAGGCCGAAGATAAGATAGCATGCTGGGTTTTGCCGACATCAGACCAGACCAGACAGAAGCATCTAGTGCAGCCTTTGCCCTTTGTCCACAGCCTCCCATGTCTGTCTACAATGTCGACAAACTGCTGGAAGCTGCTCGGCGAATATAAGGGCCCAAATATAAGGAGACATATCTTTTTGGGTTCTCTTATTGTTGATGTAAGTTAAAGAGACAGAGCCCGCTACGATCTTTGTGGGGGGAGGTCGCACCTTGGACAGTGTCGTAAATAGCATTGCGCAGTCTGTGTGTCACTGCCTTATCTCATGGTGCGTTCTATGCCGCTGTTACATATCATGCTGTGTTACGGTCTACTTTCTGGCGTATTGTATTGCATCATGTCACATTTGACTTGTCTTTCATACCACGCCACATGAACGGTCATGGTTTTCGTGATTGCATTTGGTATTGTAGTAAGCTTTGTGATGTTGTCCTATATCATGACATACTGTGCTGTGTTGATCCGTACTGTACTATGTTCAAGTACTTCATCATACGATGTGAAGCAATGTTATGTGACATAGAAGTATTCAGCATAGCAGAACATGTGAAATTGCAGTCTTGGGCTGCCAGAGCTCTATTCACGTTGTGATAGCGACAGCTAAGCAGCATAGTAGAGAAAAATGCCAGCCATGCGTGTGCAACAATGCGAGAAAGTACGGACAGCCAAGCATATGATAATATTTACCGACAGACGGGCAGCAAACAACGTCCGTAGCTGCCGATGTCAGCAGACTCCAAAAAGCTAAAACCAAAGAGCCGTAACATGCCGTTTCATCCCAAGATCCGGGAGGACCACCAACTCCCTGAAATCCTTAAGACTCTGACGCCCAAGAACCGTTCAAATTTCAGAAAACCCTGAAAACTCAAAGCAACCTCTCGATATCTTATCCTAACGCCGAAGCCCTGTGAGATCTAGGAGGCGAGTCGACGGTTTGCCCGGTGCCTCCCTCCAGGCCTGCTTGGGGTTAGGGTTTAGCTTTAGGGTCCAAGGATTACTACTACGCAGGGTTTCTCGTTTAGGGCTAGATGCTACACGGATTTTGGTTGAGGGTTGTCGGTGGACGGTTTCAGGTTTGGGATTCTGGGTACTTGTCAGGGGCTCCAGAGAGAGTTTAGAGTTGAGTGAGGCTTTGAGTTTCGGCTTGGAAACCAGGATTTGACGATTTCTGCTTCGACTATCATGGCACTCGGCTGATCTTGGGTTTCAGGGTCTAGGGTTTAGGGTTTAGGGTTTATGGTCCTCCATTAATTGCTCAGTGGGCCCCGTTCACCTTTGATTGGACTATCTCTGGTTCGTGTTTCTTTCGACTCAGACGCCTTCAATGACGATGTCGGTGTTGAGTCAAGCGTGATTCTGCAATCGGGATGCTGTAGAAAACCTGAAAGAAAATCTGCAGACCCTGAACTTTACTAAGCCCGAAACCCCAAACCCAAAACCCTTACATCCCCCCTAACCCCGAACGTCCTAAGCCCCTAAACCTCGAAACGGCTTTCAGGAGAAGAACAGCTTCCCCTGAAGGAGGCAGGGGTGTTGAAGCCGTTTCGAGCTCGGCGTTGAGGTTCTGTTGACTCGGAATCTGTAGACGTACGGGTAGTGCTTCAAGGTTCTACGGGACTTCTATATGCTGTAAGGAGTCGAGATGGGGTAGTACAAGAGTTACCACAATAGTTGCTAGAATTTTGCTAGAATTCTGGGTTTGGGGGTCAATGGGTTGTAGGGTTTGAGGTACTGGGCCATCCAAAACAGTGGCCGGAGCCGCAAACGCAGAGTTCTGTTTCGGAGTCTCCTTGTCGCAAACCCCAGAGCCTGAACCGTGAAAAGCCCTAAATCCTGAAACTTGTATAGCTTGCTGACTATCCGACATGGTAGTCGGCAGTCTCTAATCCCTCTTTGGGCTTTCGCTGTCTCAGGATTTGGGCCCTCATGTGGGTTGTCCATTCTTACGGTAGTCGTAGTCGTCCTAGCAGTAGCAGCAGCAGCAGGAGCAGCAGCAGCAGTAGGAGTAGCAGTAGCACCGTGTCAGCAAGCTGCCCGTTGCAAGCCTTTGTTTCGCGTGATGATCAGCACAAGATGGTCTCAAAATCTTCAGGCAGCCGGACGGCACCTCAAAACAAAGTAGCTCAACCAAGTGGTGCAGTCGCGGATGCGCGGTGACGTGCTCCTTGCTCGGATCCCAATTCTCTCCGGGCCGGACTGTGGGCCCAAACCTTTGACCCTGAACTCTGAACCCCAAGCCCTAAAGCCCTAATATAGGGGCCTTAATTTTGGGATTCCTAAGTAGGATTACAGCAAAAGGGGCCCCCAAACCCTATTCTACTCATTAAGGCCTCTATAGTAGGACCAAGCTGCTGAGTGTATTATGGTACCCTTATAGATCCCTTATAGACCCCTTTACGGAATCCTTTAAAGGAGCCCTATTCTAATTAAGGCCCCTGGCAGGTGTGGGCTGCAGTTGACCGCTACATCTTCTCATGCCTCGAGCGACCTGGCTGAGACCACACGGGATGAGTCGTTTCAACAACAGAAATTGAAATTGAAAAATTAGGTATGTTTTTAATATATATATATATATATATATATATATCAATGGTTATAATATTAATAGAACTGAGCATGGATCCAAAAAGAGGGAGAAGACACTGCTGGCATCATGAAGGCGACTACTTTGCAGCATTGTGCTCTTGTGATCATGACCATGTCGAATACGAGAACAGTTTCTCACTGCTACCAGCCTATCGCTGTCGCCTTGCTCTACGAACCAAGCTTATCAACATCGCAGACCGCGATAGATGGCTCTGCAGTCGCAACCATTACACGTTTACATTCAACATGGAATGTATAGTTTGCACAGTGCACGAGGGCGCAATTCGTGCTGCTGTAACTCTACAGTTGGGGTCTTCACGTGCACACCTCAAACACACCATTAGTTATGCACAGATACTTACACTCTCTCTCTATATATCTGTCTGCCTGCCTGCCTGCCTGCCTGCCTGCCTGCCTGCCTGCCTGTACGTATGTATGTATGTATGTCAATATGATAATACAAGCAAATACCTTTCTGTGTGTATGTATCACGTGCATGTGTGTGTGTGTGTGTATGTGCCAAGAGCCAGCGAGGGAGTATATACATACAGAGAATTAGTGCGCGCATGCATGTGCATACATATATATATACATACATACATACACATATAATTATGTTTATGTATAGGTATAGGTATAGATTTATGTGTATGTGTATGTAAATGTTTGTATGTATATGTTCATGTGTACGTTGTATGTGTATGTTATATGCGTATGTATGGGTATGTGTATGTGTACGTGCATGTGTATGTGTATGTGTATGTGTGTGCACACACTCTCTCTATCTACATGTGTATATATATACACATAAATGTACGTGTATATACATACATACCTGCATTCATACATATACATATACATATACATATACATATACATATACATATACATATACATTATACATATACATATACATATACACATACATATACATATACATATACATATACATATACATATACATATACATATACATACATTCATACATACATACATTCACATACCTACCCAATGTACGTACCTACCTACATACATACATGCATACATATACGTACATCTGCATAGTATTCACGTGTTTATGCTACAAAGCTTGGTGCCCAGGCACTTCCGGGGCTTGGTCATCCCGGGCTTCGCGCGGATAACCTGGCAGGTTGGGCATATTGGCACGACTACCATAGGGGCCTAAATTATTACCCATACTATGGTGGGGGGTTCCTTATGATATTGAGAGCGTAATGGGCCCCAACACCCTATTCTAGTCATTAAGGCCCCGGTATCACTGCTGCCACAATGCTGCTTGTGTTCGATGTCATGTGAGATTAAGATGCGAAGCATTGAGGAGTTCACTGCCAGAGCTGCCCCTGCTGCTACTCCTACTCCTGCCCCTTCTCCGCACCACGACTACCATTACTACTGGAATCATCACTACCACTGCTACCATTCCTCCAGTACCGCGACTGTGACTACGGCTACCTCGAGGGACCACGACTCCTGCTGTTGCCTCTGTTGCTACTGTTGCTACTGCTGCTACTCCTACTGCTACTGCTACGGCTGCTGCCGCTGCCGCTGCAGCTGCGGCCCCTGTCACTGCCACTGCTACTGCCACGCCACTGCCACTACCATGACGACGACGACGACCGCGACTAACACCAGCCACGACGATTGCTAATTCCACTACGTCCTACCTTGACTAGGACGAGCACGAGTACTTGTGCAGGTACTTGTATTACTGCGACAGAGAAACAGCAGAGAGCGGCAGTTCTAGGGGCAAGAAGTATGATAGTGCCAGAAGTGCTGACCATGTCAGCAAGAGAAAGATTAGTGGCAACAAGAAGGATAATTATAGTCACAGAATCAATCATGCCCGGCCCCTTTTGGCGAGAGAGGTGGAGCATCGGTTCCGGCGGGACAGCACGGAGCTGTGCGCCTACCCGGACCTGCGGTTCGCTGTATGCTCAGCATCTTGAGATCATCAGGTTTTAGCGTTTAATGTAGGGGCCTCAATAATTCGAATAGGGTTTCGGTGGATGTTTTATAATAGTTGTAACAAGAAACCCCCAACTTAGTATAGGTAATTACTAAGGCCCCTATATTACAATTCGGGGAGCCTGCAGTGAGGCTTAGGGCTGAAACACCGCTCGTGGCAATTGCAACAAGGTGCCCGAGAGCCCTTCGCTGCCAGGTTCCTTATAAGGACCCCAGAATAAGGTACCCCTCATTTTCCCTAAACTCCTTATTATAAGGACCCCAGAAAAAGGTACCCCTCATTTTCGGAAACTCTCGTGTCAGGTACTTCGAGCTGCTGGAGCCCTTCTGCAGGACCTTCCACGTGGCCAACAGCAGGCGACCAATCTTTCCAAATTCAGAGCTCACGAGACACTGGAATGCTCAAGAGATTCCCGAATTGTATTTCTGTGGCTATGCTGGGGGTTTGTAATGTGTTGTATATCTGTATGTCCATCGTCAACATATGTGAGTGTTTGCATAAATAGGTACAATACCTGTGTATATATGTATATATATATATATATGCACATGCCAGTAAATGCATTTACTGGATATCCTTTATGATAGAGTCTACACGGTATACGATATACAACTATGTGCTAATGTGCAACTAGTTGTACCTGTTTGAAACCAAAGCCCCTAGAGTCTACACGGTATACGATATACAACTATGTGCTAATGTGCAACTAGTTGTACTTGTTTGGAACGAAAGCCCCTTGTAGAACCCGTATACGGACCCTGAACCCTTGAAGGAACCTACCTTGCATAATAAAGATAAGAAGAAAAATAAGAACAGCAATATTAAGAACTAAGATGAGCATAGCACTACTAAGAAGAACAAAGAAGAGTACCACTATTAAGAAAAATATGAGCATAAGATGCAGTGTGTACTACTCTGCAGCGCTTTGCAGTTTTCCACAGGCGCTATGCCGCGCCGCTGGAGGCCGATTTGGCAGCCTGCGAGGATTTCAACTACAGCAAGGCCGGGCTTTAGGGTTTCGGGGTTTGGGGTTTAGGGCTTAGGGCTTGGGGTTTCGGGTGTAGGGTTTAGGCTTAGGGTTTAGGGCTTCAGGCTTAGGGTTTAGGGTTCCGGCTTTGGGGTTTAGGGCTTAAGGCTTAGGGTTTGGGATGTGTTGACTTTTTATATGGCGTCATCTCTGTCTCAGAATTTAGAAGGATCTGCTGACTGTTTTTGTCAACGGAGTTTTGCGGGGTTTGAGGTTCTGGCTGGTTGTTTTACACAGGCGTTTAGTAGCTTTAGGGTTTGGGGTAACTGGGGGTTAAGGGGTTTTTGTGTTAGGAGCTGTGCGTTTCGCAAGGCGGCTATGAATTGGAGGTCGGTCTGGTAGGACTGCTCGCGGACACCAAACGCCCTTAGGGAGTCTGTCCCTAGGGTTTTGTGGGATTGGACCGTGACCGAAGCCTGTACCAACCCCAGCCTAGCTTTCTTCTTGCTTGACATCTGTTCGCATCACTGTCATTGAGGAGAGTAAAAGGATATTTGAGCACAGAGTAGTTTGCGCTCTCGTTTGAATGTGTATCTGCGCGAATTCAGCCAAAATGCCAAGTCGTTTCTACTACCTCAGCTGCAGACCCAACTTTCATCGTAGCCCTTCTGTTGTGACGAATACTACATCAGGTCTCGGGTGAACTTAATAGTCCTAAGCCTGAAAGGCATCTAAATGTTGAAAACTTGAAATCGCAAGCCACACACCTCGAAACATTAACACCCTAGAGCGCTAAACCCTACAACAAACCTGCCCAAAGACCAAAGGAGCCTCAAGCCTTCAACCCGAAGTGAGCCCCTTATCATAGTAACCGTTACAGTACTCCTGTAGTGCCCTTCATAGAAACCCGGCAGGCAGCTCTCCGGTTCTCGCGGAAGCTGAAGAAGGCCGCCTGGTTGTCCTGCGTAGGTGACGAGTCAGCTGTCAGGAGTTCGAGCATCACGAAGTAGTAGTAGTAGTAGTAGTAGTAGTAGTAGTAGTAGTAGTAGTAGTAGTAGTAGCAGTAGTAGCAGTGGCAGTAGTAGCAGTGGCAGTAGTAGTAGTAGTAGTAGTAGTAGTAGTAGTAGTAGTAGTAGTAGTAGTAGTAGTAGTAGTAGTAGTAGTAGTAGTGCATTGCAGGCATCATGGTTTCAGGGCTATCATAGGAGGCCAAAAGGGGTTTTAGCCTATGAGGGTTTAGTAGGGATTAGGGTTCCCACAATAGGGTTCATACTAAGGAATCCCTACCCCAAGACTGAATCTTAAGCCCCCTTTTTGGCCTCCCATCACGCTAGCATCACAACTAGTCGCAGACACCACAAGTGGGGAAGGGGGAGAAGATACACACCAGTGAACTAGCGAGTGGCCGCGGGAGTCTCTACATCTTCGGTTCGTTGATGATCGGTCTTGCTGCCAGCTCTCCGGGGTGTTAGTAGCAGCTGGCTGAATACAGTGGAACTCAACTCATAAAGGGTCGCAGTTCTGGTGGAGCTATGCATGGCAGCCACCTAGTACTGAAACTTGCTCCGAACCTGCGATTGTCACTCTGTTGCTGGAGTAGGGATGGCTTCAATAGTGGAAAACGACGAAATGATGATAATAATGACTGCGCCGTCGGGCAAGGAGGTGCAACACAAGCCAATGCTTGAGAGCACCCTTGCATAGTCGACGTAACCCAATGATGAAGCTCTACAAGGGACTACACCGTGAACCATCCTTAGCCCTCAACCCCTAACCCTTTTAAGCTTGGCGCTTCAATGTATTACAATAATAATGTGTGGTAATCGAAAGCGCAACCAGGCTAATAATCAGCAGGAATAAGCAGAGTAGTAATAATAACAACTGTAATACTATTGACAATAAGACTAACCATTCTAATAATGTTAACGGCAATCAGAATAGGAACAACAATGTTTACGGTAATAGTAATAAGAATAGGAATATCAAAACGTAGCGATAATTGTGGCGGTGATTGTGGTGGTGGTGGTGGTGGTGGTAGCAGTAGTACTGGTAGTAGTACTACTGCTGCTACTACAACAACAGCTTCTACTACTCCTACCGCTCGTGCTCCTGCTCCGGCTTATGCTCTTGCTCTTGTTGCTACTCCTCCTGCTCCTCCTGCTGCTGCTGATGCTACTGCTACCAATAATGATAACAGCCGTAGTAGTAATAATAACAATACTAAATCAACTACTTCTAATAGTGATGACAGTGATGGTATTGTTCATAATAGTAGTAAGAAAGCCAATAATCTTAGTCATAGTGATAATCGTGATAATAATACCAAGAATTGCAGGACCATGTGGTGGCAGGACTTCGAGTGCTTGCTCGGTCCCCAAGCCTTTCTTCAACGCATTACTGTAAGCTGCCGGGAGAGCGGTATGCGGCTGGATAGATGTAGGTTCATCATCATCATCATTATCATCATCATCATCATCCTCACCATCATCATCACCGCCATTGCCATTGCCATCACCATCATATCCTCAATATCGTGCTGGTTATCAGCAACATGTTCATCAGCACCCAACAGTTCAGCTCATCAGAATCGTCGTGACGATGAACCAGCGGCATCAGAAGCATCCGCAGAGGCTCCGCAGTGTCAGACTCCATGACAGCGAAGCCATTCTGCCAATGACTATTGTTCAGTTTTCAGGGGTGGGACTCGAGGTCTGAAGCCAGGCCCCCATCTTTGAGGAAAAGAGTCCTCATATGTTTCATGTGCCGCGGTGCTTACTCCGAGCTTTGGCGGATTGCTGCTTGCGATAGTCGGAACAGATAAAACCATCATCCGCATCGTGGCTAGCATCCGTATCTATCCTCGTGTGACAGCCCTACCCATGCTGTAGGAGCCCTTGTAGCAACCTTACGCCCTAAACCCCAAACCCCTAAACCCCTAAACCCTAAACCCTAAACCCTCAGGTCATTCGGATGGGCGAGGCAATGGCTCAGGGAAGGCGGAGAAGTCGTTCTTGGGGTTTCTTGTGCTCAATGAAAACATGGGCCGGTAGATTTACCAAACTATATATCCGCTGAAGTTCCTTACTAAGATTCTACGTATGTACTTTTGTGGCTCTAATTCCCCGAAACTCTATTCTAATGATTCAGGCCCCGCGTCAAATTTGGTTTCTGGGTTTAAGGGTTCAAGTTCAGGAGTTTGGGTTGAGGGTTAAGGCTTCAGGCCTCAAAGGGGGGGGGGTTTCGGGCTCATAGTTTGGATCGTACTGTTTGTGGTTTACTTGCTCATCTCAAATGATGATACATGAAATGGTACAAATCCGTAGCTCTGTAGCAAGACGTCACATCCAGGCCCTTAGAGCCTGAAGTCGGAGCATATTGCGCGAAGACCCACGGAGGCCGCACCACTTCTCGAAGACAGAATCTGAAATTGCACATCTGGGTCCTTAGGCACCAAGTAGTCTAGCCGCCTCACAGCCGAAACCCTCGATCTCTTCCCTCAAAAACAGAAGCATCGAAAAGTCATGATCCCGAAGGGAGTTCAGAGAAGATAAGACAACCCTACAACAGAGACCGCAAATGGCGGAGTCCTTATATCACGGCCCCTGACGTCAACAAAAAGATACCCAGAAGCAGGATAGCCCAAAAGCCTAAACCGTTACCCTTTCCGTGACCCTTACAGCTTTAGCCTTATCATGGTCCTGAGACCACAGAGACTCCAATATCCCTTATTTAAGGCTTACTCTTTAAATCATATAAGGGATCCTACTCTAATTTAAGGAATATTCCTTAATTAAGGGATATTGGAGTTTCTGGGACCCCCCAAAAGCGAGGCAGATGTCCCTGGACTTCACCATAGGGAAGCTCCTGGCGCGAGAGCGCGAAGCGCGCTTTGTGCCGGCAGCCGAGGGGCGTGGGGGGGGGGTGCAGGGTTCGAGGCAAGGTTGGGGCTTATACCTATAGTCTCCATTGTAGTTCCTTTTTGGGGTTACCTTTTAGGATCCTTAATATAAACTTGGTTATAAGCCGAAAAAAGGAACTACAACGGAGACTATAGGTAGGGTTCCATTCTCTTTTTGGTTTTGAGGGTCTAGGGTTCCGAGGGTTTCCAGGTGTTTATAGGGTTTTGGATTCAGGGTTTCCATGCCGGGCAGTTCACTTATTAGTCGCTCCAACTCTCTCCTAATTACTGATGTGTTCCATTTTCTGCTGTTGTTGCTGCAGCTGCTGCCATTGCTTTTGTGGCCGCGGCCACTGCTGCTGCTGATGTTTGCAGCTGCCCTTGATGCCGGTGCTTGCGCTGGTGCTTGGCAGGCCCTGGCCGTGTGGCATTTACTGCGTTGATGCTGCTGATGCTGTGACTGCTTCTAAACTGTTAATGTTTGAACTTCTGCCATGCTATGCTTGTCTCGTTGTTGTATTGTTTCCTGTCAGTCGATGATTTTTAGGCAGACTGCGTTGCGATGACGGATGACACAGACCGCGAACGAAGCTCCGGGACGCATGGTTTCCTTCCGTTGCAATTGGGCTGGTTTCGGCACCAACCGTCTCGAAATAGCATCCTTCTGCGGGCACGTGGCTAGCCAGCTCCCCACTAAATCCTTAATTGTCCGTGCACCCATGGGTTCCTCCTGGACGTTAGCAATCTTCTCTCATGTGCACAGTGTCCTTGTGCCAACTTCGTGTGGGACTGGTGATCTCGCCGGAAGTAGGACCATGTGGGAGCACTCCCATTCAACAAGAACAAGAAGGCGATATCTGATAGTATCTGTACGGTAATGGTTTCCCGGCAACAATGATCGAGATTCTGAAAATTGGCAGTGCTTGTGAGTGTGCAGCATTTCCTTCAGCCCAGAATGCAATTCTCTCGTAGTCTTGGAGCCCAGACTGCCATCGGGGCTTCCCTCGTGAGATATTCTTGTTCCTGCAAGCTCTTTGTAATCGTTTGTTCTCGCATGTGCTCTGTGCGTCCTGTTCATCGGTGTTCATCGTTTATCTCATGCCAACACGACCATGCGGCAGTTCGGCTGCTGGGGCTAAGACTAAGAGAGCTAGTATGGTCCGGTACGCCAAGGCAAATCTCAACATTCGCTCAGGTTCTCAGCAGAAGCACAGCCTTCTCCTCAACGGGCTGTCGATTCGATTGATTGTTTGTCGTTGAAGGTGATCGTGGATTGATCTGCCGTGGCAGTAGTAGCAGTTGTGAGAGGGTTGCGAAATCCATTCCTGTGCATATATTACTGCAACAAATAAAGTAATACAGTTGATAATCTAGTAGTTTAGTGTCTAGTATACGATATGTATGCTGTATGTATTTACGTACGTATGTATGTATATATATATATACATACACGATATGAGTTCTACTATTATTATTGTTATCATTGTCACCATCAATATTAGTATTCTCCTTCTTATGACTACTACTGATATTACTATGTGTTGTTGTTATTATTGTTAGTATCATTGTAATTTGTATGGCTATTCGAACCCATACTAATCATATTTTACTGTTAGTATGATTACTTTTACTATCAATATCTTACTATTAAAGGATATTGCTATTACTGCTACTATGTCTATCGTTTTATACTTGTTATTATTCGTTTAATATAGTGTGTGTATGTATGTATGTATGTATGTATGTATGTATGTATATATATATATATATATATATGTATATACATAGTTGGTGAGTTTTATGGCAAGTCAAGGCAGATTCGGGACAGGAGGCTGCGTCTCGGTGGCTACAGCGCTAACAGTTCGAGCAGAGCCGACCGGCTGGGAAGAGAACTCTCGACATGCTTCATGCGACAACGTTGCCGCATGGGGGTTTCCGAAAATAAGGGACCCTAATCCCGTTATAAGGACCCCAAAATCAGGTGCCCCGTACTTTCGGAAACTCCCGCATGGCCCTTAACATGATCCGTTGCCCCGCACCCCGACGCCAAACCAAGCCCTCACCCTCCTCAGTAAGCCTGACTCCACTCCTGGACCCAGACACTCAATCCCCAATCCTCGCTGCTGAAAGCACCACAGAAACGTTCAAGCCCAAATCCTAAACAACACAGACCATGCGTAAAGCCAAACCCTAAACCAAAAGCCAAAGCCGGCAAACCCTCAAAAGCCCTAAAGCCCGAAAATCCACTCTGACGGAGCTGAGGCAAAGCCTCCTCGAGGGTCGCCCTTTGCCGTCAAGGTACGACATACTTTCTGGCACAATGCAAGTTAAATTTCATGTGTGTGCCTGTTACGTTTGGAAGCATTTTCTTTGTTGCTCTTGATGTTATTGCTTTCTTGCTTTGCTGGAGTGATGGTGATGGTGATGATGCTAAAGATGCCTTTGGTGGTTGCCTGCGTGTGTGGTTATTCTTCTACTGAGATTCTACTGCTGGTAGTCTATCTGTTGAAGATCAGTGTTTATCACCGTGAATTGTGCAGTTTTTGTCATTGTTCACGCATTTTGCCAGTATCTATGCGAGCACAGCCTTGGTCCATTCAGACTCGGACATTCGTGGCACCAAGAATGACAGGAAAGGCAGTTTTCATGATGACGGTGGTGAATAGGAGCATCATGGCGAAGATGATGGGGAATACGGTGAAGATGATGTTGTAGATGGTGATGACGACGATGCCCAACTTGGCTGCTTGCGAGTGATGGTGATTAGCACGAGCGTACTTTACCTTCGAGGACCTTTCTGATTTCTTACGACCAGGCCTCTACTGACTAAGACAGTATTGCAAGATCTTAAATCGATGCCAACAATACTGCTGGAAGCGGGAATGATGACGATGAAAGAGTTACAGTAGCCCTTATAAATAGTAACCCTATTCTAGCTACCTGCTACCCAGGCCTTTGTCCCAAGTTACGAAAGTAACCCTCACAGTTACCCTGGAAGCCACACTGTTGTAACTGTTTAGACCCCCCTGCTGAAGCCACCCGTTTAGTAATCCTTCTCCCCATAGATATTATAGTATCCCGTACAGTCTCCCCCGTCACCATCGAGTATCCTGGCAGAGCTTCTACAACTTCCCCTGCCAGGGCGCCCCCAGAGGCAGCATGGGAGGCAGATTCCGGGCCGACCGGCGAGGGAGGTAAACAAGGCCCGAAGTGATCAGTGATCAGGGTTGACTGTGTTTTATAGAAGCCAAAAAGTTGGAACCCCCATAGCCTCAATCCTTAAGAGTAATGTATAGGGAATCCCAGCACTATTTGGCCTTAATCCGGTTTCAAACTTTAAGGGGCTTACTGTACGGTGTAGGAGTTTAGGGCTAATAGGGTATCGTTGAGCACGAAGAATGCGCCTCCAAATGGGGCTCGATACTCGGAATAGGGTGTTGGGGTAGATCACATCTGTAGGGGCATGCATTATTCGATTGGAACAAGTACCATTAGTACTATTAGGTGGAGACTACGAGAGAATATGTTTTTTATGCTTGTTCAGACCGTTTTTTCATATTAGTAAGCCAATGGCAGGGCTCGGGTCGAGAAACGGTTTGGGGTTGAAGGTTCAGGTTTTCGGGCCAATCAGCTCTTGTTGTTAAGATGCGAACTTTCCGGTGTTCGTGTTCCCTAAATGTCGGAGATCCCCACGAACGCCATCACGGCACCCTAAGGTCTTACCATACACCCAGAGTATGAATCCGAAAAGCCCTTGGGAAGTTTGAAACCCCAAGAGCCTGGCAGCACCCTTTATAAAATAGCTCAAAAAAACGAGCGTAGGGTTGTCGGGTGTTTTCTGCATGATTACAAAAATGCCGCTCCTATTGCTAATGCGAGAGACTGTTGTAACACATTGTCCAACCCCAAGATCCTCCACTCTACACCAACCCTGAAAGGAACAACGGTAGAAAAAGTGTCGGTCAGGAGAGGCGGTGGTCTTGCCGCCGAGCCCCAAAGCGAGCGAGGAAGGCGACAACAGGGGGCTCCTCCAGGGTTCAGGGTTTTAGGTTGATCGCTTTAGAGGATCCTAGTGTTTCGGGGCCTGTTGTCGTAGCATTCTCCCGCATGATCGCATGTTTTTGGCATTTCAAGCAGAGCTCCAGTCGAAAACCGCCACTAAACCCTTGTCCGGAAAGCCCGACCGCCACTCAGCGTCAACAAGTTCCGTAACTGCTAGCAAAGTTGGTGTCAAGGTTATTTTCTGCGGTTCTGCATGCAGGGGCTTCCTCTACCAAACACCGAAGTTTTGAAACCCCAAACCATGAAATCTACACGAAACGTCACGGAACGTCAATACAGAGTATCATTACGAAGGATGAGAGGTTGCAATACCAATACATCCCAATAAACGAAGACATCTTGCATCAGAAAAGCCAGACTCCCATTACCCATTGATTTTAAGTATATCCCGTAAATTGAGGGATGAAGGAAACTCCGAGAAGTTTCAAGCCTTGCTAGGCGAGCTACCGCAGCGGCGAAAGAGGAGTCGGTGCCCAAAAGGGGAGGGACCTCGGAAGCTACAGATGGGAGTAAGATACGGCAGACAGGGTACTCCAAGTTTCTATTCTCATGATTGAGGTCCCTATGTTACGGTGTGGGACTTCCTTGATGCAGACACTAGCGGTGTTTAGGGAGGCTGCCTCTACGGCATATATGGTGAAACAAGCCCGCAAAATTCGAGATGTTGTCGCTGCCGCACCTTGCTCAGAAATTGTATTACTTTACCCCCAAACCCTGAAACCCTTCTGTTCTGCACTCTCTCCCCTTCTCCCTTGCCCCCTATGCCGGCAGCGCGGCACAAGGCTATTGGCAACCAAAGCCGAAGCCAAGAGCCAGGCCGGGATTGCCCATGGTAGTGCTGCTTACATTATGTTTTGCCACACAGTAGGTTTAAGGTTTAAAATTTGGGGCGAGTTAGTGCTTAATACATGTGATTCTAGGTGTCTACTCTTTGTACTAATTACTAGTTCATGCTGCGTCATACTACGGCCTCATCGCTGTCTTTCTTGGCCACTCGGGCTGGTAGCATGAGAGGACTGTGGCTTGTCTGTTTTGCTCCAAGAGCCTGTCAGTCCTCAGGGGTCTCGAGTTGCAGACACGTAGTGTAATTAGTGGTGGCGACCATCTAAACCCCAGTCGGCGCCTCCAGAATTAACCATAGCCATAGCACCCTAAACCCTAAACCCTAAACCCTACCCCCCGAGCCCCAAACCCCACTAGCTCGCCTCCAGTAGTCTTCGGAGGGGTTGCGGAAGCCGGACGGAAAGAGCTCTCAATAAAAAGGGGTGCTCAAGGATGCCGATCCCAACTCGGTATCTTTGCCCCGAGGGTACATGCTTCAGACTTCTCCTGAAGCCGAAGCTTCAGGATGCAGCAGTTTGGGGTTTGCACAGAACGTGACAGAGAGAGGGAGAGAGAGAGAGAGAGAGAGAGAGAGAGACGAACATCGGGGGGGCCCTTAGGGCCGAGGGGTCTCGCAACCCCCTCATGCCCCGGGGAAGAAGAGAGAGAGAGAGAGAGAGACGCTGGTAGTTTGTGACAAAGGGGCGAGGCCTAAAGCTCCAGTGACAGTGGAACGGGAGCACCACCAACTAAACTCAACAGTTCGCTTCGGCCGTGGGGAGCCTGACCTTTGTCGCATGTAACACCATGTGCCCCTACAGCACGGGCAGCTCCCGCGGGGGCGTGCCCTCAAGCCTGGGGAAAGGAAAGAAAGAGACGCGACAGCACCAGAACTACAGCTCCTAGAACTACCCTAAACCCTAAACCCCTAAACCCTAAACCCTAAACCCCTAAACCCTAAACCCTAAACCCTATTTCTAGCTTTGGGAACGGGCAAGCTGAAGGCCCAAGCCTTGCCTCAACGCTATTCAACCTACGGCGGCCTAATTACTCAACAGGGTCTGTCTTGTGACTTAAAGCTTCCTTGTACTGTACGGATCCTGAAGACAGGGACGTCCCAGCTTTCTGGCTTCTACTTTCAACCCTTCTTGCTTTTTTAAACCCTTTAAGGAACCTTTCTTGGAGGTTCGTGGTTAATTATAAGTAGGGTTATAGGTAGGACAACTATGGTTATAATCCATATTAAGGGACTTATAACCCCACTTATAACTGCCCATGAACCTCCAAGTAGTCAAGCCATTGTCCTAAACCCAAAACCATCTCTTCGATTTTTTTCCTCGATGGCTCAAGGCTGCAGCGGTGCGTGAAGCCACTCGAGCAGGCAGTCCCGGTGTTACTAGAAGGGTTCTAGTAAGGCTTAGGGAGGTATTAATAAGGACTCGGGGGTTAGGAGTCAGGTGTGGGGGATCTTCGGGGGCTTTGTAGTAAGGGTTCGACGAGGGATACTATGAGGCTTCTACGGGGGTTCTACAAGGGTGCTACCAGGGTTCTACAAGGGTTACTTCTAGAAGGGCTCTACAAGGGTTTCTACTTGGAGGTTCATGGCTATATATATATATATGTATAGTTGTAAGTCGGGTCACGAGCAGGATAGATCTGTATGTTGGGACTTATAACCACCCGTGAATCCCCAATAATAAGGGTGTTGTCAGGGGTTGCGAGATGGGTTCCGAAAAGGGTTACAAGCAGGCTACAACAAGTGATACTAGAAGGCCTACCGGGGTTTATGATTATCATTGCTTATTGTTACAGTATGACTATTACATATCTCTACTACAAGTAGTTGTAATCACTATTGCTACTGTTACTGTTGATGGACAAAATCCTGCATGACCTTCAGGACCCTAAACTATGGGAATTCTGGTATATTCCATAGTGGGTAATGCAGGACCTGTATCCGTAAACCATAAAATCCCATAGATCCCGCAAAGGAATCCAAGGTACCCTTATAGATCCCTTTAAAGGAGCCATCAGCCGTGTTAGTACATTGGATGCACGTGCGGCTCTCCAGGGCCCCGGCTCCGAGACAATACCCGCTGTGCACAGCAACGAGAAAGTCTGGGCCAAGGGGACCCCAGAGAGCCCAATACAATACCCCTTAATTAGGGAATATGCTTTAAATCACAGTATGAATCCCCTCATAATTTAAGGTATATTCCTTAATCAAGGGGTACTGGGCTCTCTGAGGACGAGAGGGACAAGCGTCCCCATACATCTCATCACATCTCACAAATGCTGAAACAACCGGATTGCGAATGTTTTGCCATCTTGCTGAGAGATGCCGCTCTTGACGTCTGGCGAGCGACACATCGACCTTTTACGCGCGAGTGCGCCAGGGCTTGTCTAGCGACTGGATATGTAAGGTTCCGCCTGGGCATGCTGGCATTGCCACGCGCTTCTGCGACCGAACGACAAAGCAAAGCAGCTCCAAAGAGTGCCGAACTGCTTCCTGGAGTGGGCCTACTCCGCTCAAAACGTGTGTTCTTCACATGCCAGGCTTCCGTGCAACGCTAGCAAAGTCACAAATATTCCCGCTCAAGGACTATGCACCATAAGCTTTACTTTGCACCCCAACGCCACAAAACCAGCGCTTCAAGCGTCAGTAACTTCTTCTGCGGGGATGGTTAAAGCCTAGAAGCCCAAGATTTTAGTTCAGGAAGTTCAAAGTCAGCAGAGACGAGCTGATACCGAGATACACCGAAGCAAGGAAAGGGCTGCCATGCAAGATACCCTTGGAAAGGCTCGTTGCCACGATCACCCGTAGTCACTATAGTTTCGCGACCGCAGTATACTGCGAACGGCACGTCTTGAGGTTCTCAGGAATCAAGGGTGGTGTCCCTGCAAGCCTGAACCCCATAATGAAAATCTCCCTAAACTCTAAACCCTATACTGTCGCCGGGGAGAAAGATCATTCATGTCAAAAACAAACCTATACAAATGGTCAAATGGGTGGTTGTCAAAACTAGGGTTCCTTTTGGGGTCCCTATTATAGTACGGCACCTATTATTTAGGGTATCCCTAAAAGGGACCCGAATTTTGACAACCACCCATACTGAAACCCCAAACCCCCTGAACCCTCCGGCCTAAACCCCCAAATCTCCAGAACCCCGCCCGCGAGGCCACGCCTCGGCCCGCAACCTCGGCCGGGAGGTGCCAGGGGTTTAGGGCTTTTTTTGGTGCGTAGGCCGGCTTGAACTTGAAGAAGAAGGGAGAGTTTGTAAATATCTTTCTGTGTGCCAGAGATGTGTACATGCCATGTTGCAGCCGCGGAAGACTCTACATCATGGCGTCGCGAGTGGTTCTTCATGAGATCAGGTACCCAGAGGGCGCCACCACGCCTCCAGCAACTGCCAGGCCTTTGTCCCCCCGAAATTAATGGGTTTAAGGATCTAGCGTCGCAGACGCTCCCCTGCAACTCAAATACCAAACCCTATAAACCCCTATGGCCCTTCAAATAGCGGGACGTTCCCGTGCAAGATGTTCTGCGCGTGCGCATGTCAAAGGTCTTGCAGGGGTTTCAATCTCCAGTTGTTTGAGTTTGCGGTGTTTAGCAAGGTAGGCCTTTGGGACGTTTTGGCATGTCCTCGATTGGGCCAGAGGGGATCTTGCTGTCGGGTGGTTAAAAAGGCTTTATAGGGCCAGCCTAGTTAGAAGATGGCTATCCGAAAGTCAGGGTGGCTTAAGTACTAAGGACAGGCGGGATCCACCAGTTCGGCTGCCGAAGAGCTGTAGTTAATGGTTTAGGGTTTAGGGTTCAGTATAGGGGTAGCTCAAGTGCTGATCCTTCCTCCCGGCCCAGTGAAGCAGGGCTTGGCATTGTGAGATGTGCGCACGGACAGGAGACTCTCTTCCCTGGGCGCACCTCCACCGTGCCTTGGCGAGTCCTTGCTTCCCTCTGCTCACCTTGCGAACTGTGTGGAATCTGACGGCTTGCGATTTCGGGACTGAGTCCCGAGACTCTGACTTTAACCAACGGCTCCAGTGCAAAAAAGCAAAGGCATCCTTTGCGAGACAGGGAGAAGCTTCGGACTTCGGGGTGCAGCGAGAGAACGTAACATTTCGAAACCATGCACGACGCTTATGCCAAGAGGCTTGTACTTTGGGCCTCATGTTTGGTCTCAGGGATGTCTTCAGCGGTGACGGACTGTCTCTCTTCATGACTTGCTTCAGCTGCTGCCGCTGCTGCTCCTGCTACTGTCGTACTGGTACCAGTACTCCTACCAGCGCTCGTGCTCGTACTCCTACTCGTACTGGCACTATCACTATACCACTGACTGCGACTGAGACTATGACGACCACCAGTACTCCTGATAAGGGCCCTCATATGGGTTATAATATCAGTACAGTTACCCTACTTATAACTTATAACCCTACTTATAACGAATGCTATACTATAACTATAATAAGGACCCCCCCCAAAAAATAGTATAGGTATTTCTTGAGGCCCCTATATTACTACTCCTAGTGCTCTTGCGGCTACTTGCACCGCGACCCTCGACGACCATGGCAGCATCCGACATTGGAGCCAGCTGGTGGTATAGGGACCTGCATAACCAGAATAGTTGTTTTTTTGTTGTTGAGGGGGTTCCTTATTATAACTATGGTATAATACACCCCTAGACTCTGTTCTAATTATTCAGGCCCGTATGGTACGACCACTGCTGCCGCTACCGTCATTAGAACGGCATGTGCTGGTACGAGAGTGGATAAAATATACTAAAGGGGCCTTAACAATTACCTATACTATTTTGTGGGGGTTCTAATTATAGTATAATGGGCCCCAAAACCCTATTCTAATTATCAAGGCCCCTATAGGACACGGCTTCGGAAGGACATCATAGGAGTACCTAAAACCCTGGAGCCTGAGCACCAGGACACCCCGGGTTGCGGTTACCAAGGCAGCTGCCCCCGCGGCCGGCGACCCGGGCAGGAGAAATGCCCACGCAGGGAGCTCAAAATTCAGAAAGATCGATAGGGTTCGGCTTTGAGGCAACATCAAATCACACTTATGGTATAGTATATCGCGATTTTGTTCGGAAGGGGGTGATTTTGTAGCAGGATGCTGCAAGTTTGTGACTAGAAGGTTTGATGCGGCTCCCTCATGTTGTTATCGGGTTTTAGACATGTATAGCGATTCCCCTTGTGGTGATCGTTTTCATACGGATCTTACGATCCAGGGCCTTCCCGAATTTCTGACATCTGAATTCAGAGAGCAGGGGCTAGCTTAAAGTGCAGGATTTGGGGCCGGGGGCGTAACATGCAGCAGGATACAGAGCATCGTTTCAGTTTTTGGTGTCTTCACACATACGGATCATTCGAGATTGTTGATCTTTGCAGCAGGCAATCTTGATTGGCTTAAGTTTGGCTTTCAGTAGGCTGATGGGATTTCATGGGTCATTTGGAAAGTGGCCTTGCGCAGCTTGCCACGAACACCTGCACCCTCCTGACTGACCCTAAGCCCTAAAGCCCCAATCTCTAGAAACCTCGACCCGACAACTGAACATTGCATCAGCTGCTCTTCCGACACCTTTTACCGAGGTCGCCAAAGCCGACAATGGCAGCCAAGGGGAAACAGGCCGGGTAATATCTCTGAGCCGGAAGACATTCCAACAGTGTTCCTCAGGGCATAGCCATTAGTTAAGTAGCTGAACTTTCATAGTGAGGCCTCGAAGGCTTGCACTGGTTTGGTCTTCTTTGAGGAGTTTGGCTTTCAGGCTGTATCAGGGCTTTGCATGTTTTGTTCTAGAGGGGTTAGGGTTTAGGGATTGGGAGGTTTGCGGGGTTCGATAAGGGTTGTGCTAAGGATTTTGGGTTTAGAGTCGGGATAGCAAGTGACGGTATCCGCTTACAGTCCCTCTATGCTTATAGTTGGATAGATCTGAAGACCCTGTTTAGGGCTAGTGCCCTAAACCAAAGAAAGCTTAGGCCTCAGGGTTTGGCAGCCCTTAACCCCTTGAGCCTTGGAACCCTTCAACCCTTGACCCCCTGAACCCTCAACACCCCCTCAACCCTTGAGCCCCTGAGCCCTAAGACCCTAAGACCCTGAACCCTAAACACTAAGACCCTGAACCCCTACACCCCTAGACCCTAAACACTAAGACCCTAAACCCTAAACACTAAGACCCTAAACCCTAAACACGAAGACCCTAAACCCCTACACCCCTAAACCCTAAACCCTACACCCCTTGAGCAGCTGTTGGCCGCAAGTTCTGAGTGCCAGAGGCCTTCGAGGAGGAGCAGACGTCATCACCAAGGCCTCTCACCCTGCCAGTGAGTACCATATGGGAGTTTCCGAAAAGAGGGGACCCTAATATAGTACCCTAAATACTGGGATCCTTATCATAAGAACCCCAATAAGGTACCCCTAATTTTCGGAAACTCCCATATTGACGGTAGTAAATCGTGATTTCCCAGCTTTTAGACCAGAAGGGGCGATTTTATTCTTCAACAACGAGGATAAACCAGGTGGGTAGTTGATACTACAAAGAGTAGCAACAGTAAGCCTCATCATAGAAGTAAGAAGATGCTACCAGTAGTAAGGGTAATGACTGTGGCTTTGGGCGTTACGCTTTCAGAAGCGTTCATGTTTGGTATGACAACACGGAGTAAAGCATTTGGAGCCGGGAGACGACAGGGACAAACGTGCACTGCAGTGCCTACCGGAAGATCACAAGATTAAGACACCTTGGGCCTTTATGAGGGCTCCTTATTATGAATCCTACTACTTTGGGGTTATAGGCCCTTCGTAAAATCCATGGTCGTCCCCCACGCAGGTGCAACGATGTCCAAGCCTGCTTGGACCAGTGTCTGATCCGGCATATCAGGCAACCTCACAGCTTTGGTGCAGGAGTTTCCAAGGGTTTCTTGCATCCCGAAGCCGAGACATAGGGTTTGGAGTTTGGGGATCTCGCTGCTTGAATTGGGTTTAGGGTTTAGGGTCGTTCGTTCTCGCGGCGGGTTGTGCTCTTTCGAGCGAGAACTTCCATTGTGGCTCTTGTCTTGCATGGTCCTGGTGAATATCATTTGAGCCTTCTCCGTCCCGACACATAGCGGAAGTAAACACCATTCCGCTGACTGCATCTCTAATTATGAGTCTCAAGATTCCCCCACATGCCTTTCTTGTCAAAATTGCAGTAGAACACACTCCCATGCACCCCATTCCCAGAGATCATTTAGACCCGAGCGCCAGCCGTGGCACCTCCTCTCCATTATCCCTACTATAAGCTTTGGCGTTTCGGGCTTGTCCTGAGCTACATGTCCCACGGTTGTTTTGGAATTCGCTGTTCCTGGGATTCCCCGCCCGTAAATAACCCCAAGCTCTCAAACCGCAACCCCCTGAGCCTTACACCAGAGAACTCTCAGCTTTGCAACCCGGAGCACTGCCAACCTTCCATCGGAAAAGCTCAGCCATTCGCCCTAAACAGTAGACACCAAAAACCCAAAACCCCTTTAACCCCAAATCCCTAAACCGTAAACCTTAAAACCCTGCACTCAGCTTGAAAACAAATATAAACCCCCAGAAGTCCCAACCACCCCGAACCACTCAGCTTCAAATCACACCCAAACCCTAGAACCCCCCCTCCCCCCAAAAAAAACCTGTACTCAGCTTCCAAACAAGCCTAAACCCTTTAAAGCCCCCGAAGAGGCAGCTCGAGAAAAGAGCCTCTCAGGCGCGTTGCTTTCTGGCAGGCATGTAGCCGTTTAGTTGCAAGGTTGAGGGACGTCTGTATCTCTCTCTCGCTCTATACATATATATATATATATAGATATCTATCTCTCTCTCTCTATCTCTATCTCGGTCTATCTATCTCTATCTCTCTCTCTTTGTTTGGGTCCGCTTGTTTGGGGTTTAGCTGCTGCTAGGGTCTAGGGTTCTAGGAGTTTAGGATTCAGCGGTTTGTTTGAGGGCCCTGTATTCAATCATCGTAAAGGGAGCTCCAGAAAGTTGGAATATGGTTTCAGGGTAGGATACCCTTTAATTTACCATAAAGGGTTTAGGATAATCATATTCCAACTTTCTGGCTTTTACTGTAGCTGGTTTTGTGTCCCCTAGGTCCAGGGTCTCGTCGTCGAGGTTTCCGACGCCCTGGGATCACAGGTTTGAGATTCATAGGGCTGTGCAGCATACAGAGCATCCCAGCTGTCTGCGGACCTTAAAACCCTGAAAACCTGCAGCCCCATAAACTCTAAGCCCTCTATACCCTAAACTGAGTTTTCTGAAACTAGGGTTGGGTTTTTCTAGTAAGGATCCTCCTTCTGAGAAACCGTCTACATATTCAAGACCCTGCTATGTACGTGTCTTTACAACATGAATCCTACTGTTTCACGGTCGTCCTATGTTACAACATCGGGCTGTTCGGGTAGCTACATTATGGTCTATGGCGAGTCTATGAGGTTTTCTGAAACTCCCTTGTAGGTTTGGTTTTATCAGGCAGCCAGCAGAATGTTGCAGAATACCTTGTTCATCATTCTTCGGCCTGGCGGCACTCCGAAACCTAGCGCGCATGCTCCAGAACCTTGATCTATAGTTCCTGGATTCAGGGCGGTAGTCACATAGGGGCAGCTAACATAGAGATTTGGTAACGCGATGCTGTACACAGTCTTACAGGGACTATGATGTAACATTAGCTATAACTGAATATCCCGAGCCCGGTATTTCGTTGGGTGTGCGGTGCCTGATTTCGTACATCAGGCGCTCAACCGCAACACGGAGGAAGCCAAGCTGACACTGAAGCAGAAGGCAGCTGGGGCGAGAATCCGGGTCTGCCTCTAGCAGGTTTCAGGCGGTTGCCAACACCCCGAAGTCGTGCGACATTTAGGCTGAAAGGATTGAGTAGTGTGTGTTTATAGGTTTACACTGGTCAGAGAGAGAGAGAGAGAGAGAGAGAGAGAGAGAGAGAGAGAGAGAGAGATTCCGATGTATGACGTTTCGGCCAGTTTGCTGGTCCGAGATCGCGTTCCCACTTTTGATTTACTGCACATCAGAGGTCGGAGCAATTTGGAGCACTTTACTCCTTCGAGTCCCTTGCACTTAGACTATCCCGTTGTAATCAGTCTGTTATATATATATATATATATATATATAGTTGTATATATTTATGTATGTATGTATGTATGTATGTATGTATATATATATATATATATATATATATATTGTATATAGGTATGTATGTATGTATGTACGTATGTATGTATGTATGTATGTGGGCTTGAAGTAGCGTTCAAGGGGTTTAATAAGGGATGTATAGGGATGAATAAGGATGTCTAAAGAGTTTCGGATGTTGCTTGCTTTGGGGTTCAAGGGCCGAGGGCTTCCGTTGGGGTTGCTGAAGCTTCGGGTTGTGGGCATTTCGGGGGTTGCGGGCTTCAGGATTTTTTGGATTCCCCTACACTTCCCTAAACTCTGATGCCCTAGGTAAAAGTCCTTATGCCGTAACTCACCTGGCCCCTAATCCCGCAGCCCAAAGTGCTCAACCGACGGCAGATGCGCAGGAGATCGACGAAAGACGCCAGCGCGTGGCGAAGTTGTCCTGTGCCCAGACACTGTTGGGGCTTAGGCTTCGAGTTTCGGATTCAGGGTTCAGGGTTTTAGGTTTTGGATTTAGAGTGTATCGGCAGCTGTCCGTTTCCGTGGCATTCTCGCCGCATGACTGCACCGTTTATCGCTTGCTCCGGTTGCAAGACCCTGGATGAAACTTTCCTGGCCCCAAGACAAAGTGACAAAGCACCCCTGGCCAAGCGCCAAGAACGAAGCAACAGGACATGATCCCAAACTTCTTTGATAAGAGTGAAACTCCATCCCCTGCTCGCCCGCCATAACGAAACGATCCCAAGCAAGATCAGCGAACTGCCGTTGTTGCTTCTCTTGCCTTTGGCTAGTTGGGAATGGAAGAATGGTAGTAATAGTAGCTATAATTGTACCCCATTCCTCCATTCCCTACTAACCAAAGGTAAGGTCTGGCAGTTGAAGACCCCAAAACCTAGATCTCGGGTGCCGACAAGGCGGGAGAACGCTGACTTCCTGGTGAAGCAAATGGAGGAGGGAAGTTTGGACCAACTGTCTGAAGGCCGCTTCACGAGGCCTTAAGATTCGTTATCAACATCTCTGAAGCCTTCAATTGCAAGTATGCTGAAAACCCTGTCCTTGGAACCCCAAAGCCCTAAACCCTCTTTACACAGCCCTCAACCTTCCCCCAACAGCCGCGAAGTGCCATGTCTAATCTCTGATTTCGCGAGAAGGACCGGGAAGCCCGGCGGCGTCTCGATGCCGAAGCCGAGCGCGCCGAGAGCCCGGGCCTTCAGAAAGCAGGAGCTGAAGTGCTTTCATGAGCGATTTACACTTCGTGTTCTGTGCTCATTTTAGCTTAGGGATTTGCAAGGCTTTTACACGTGCTTGTCGGGTTACTGTGAAATAATTAGGGACCTTGATGCTGCGAACAGAGTACTGGGGAATGTTTACAGAAGGACTAGCGGGGGTCGTCTGGTTTAGTTCCATGCAAACCTCTATGCTACTGCGAGCTTACCGCGAAAACACTGCACCCCTGTAGAGCTACCCAGACATAAACAGCACCAGAGATAAACGTCTTACGCCTTAGGGGTTAGAGTTTGGGATTTAGGTTTGGGGCAAAGGGTTCGGGCTGTGGCTGGAGAGTGCTATGCTGCGCTGCAAGCAATATGGGAGTTTCCGAAAATAGGGGACCCGACTACAGTACCCTAAATAGTCGGATCCTTATTATAAGGACACCAAAATGAGGTGGCGCTTCGGAACAGAGTTTTGCAAGATATATCTACCGAAGGCCCATCGGCTCCGATGTTTCTGGGCTTACAGGATCATTCACCTTGCCCTTGAGTCGTTTCTGGAGAAGACATAGATGAGATCGGCGATCTCCAGGTCACACCACGACTTCAAGCAAGTCAACTCCCCGCAAGGCGAGCCGGGTTCAAGGTTTGGGCCTACCCATAGGCTCCATAGTAGTTCCTTTTCGACCTGTTAGGATTCTAAATATAAACCCCCCAAAAAAGGAACCACTATCGAGCCTCTGGGTAGTTAAGGGCTTTAGGAATCAGGACTCAGGATTGCAGGCTTCGGTTCCGAGGGTCAAAGGCCCTCCACACCGGCCCGAGGCCCCGTAGATCTTCGGTTACGGCTCTTCGCACACAGCGCCATACGGCAAAGATAATCTCCTAGACCCGAAGGCCCTATATGTAGCCTAAATATGAGACAGCAGCAGATTTCCACTTGAGTGTTCCTGGGATCCGAGACCCCGCAAAGGCAGGAAGGAAACCCGAACTCCCAAATCGCGCATCCGAATCAACAGCTCGATATCCCTAAACCCGAAACCTTCCAATCGTAGACTTGGAGTGATCGCCCTGAGAAAATCCTAAACCCTAAACCCCAAAACCCCAGCGGCAGGCCGGCGTCTCGGAGCACCGTCGAGATCTGCTCACCTCCAACCTGAAGGAGTCCATCCTAAACCCCTGAACCCAAAAAGTATTCATCCTCGACCCTAAGCCCCAAGTTGGCGTTCCTTTTGTGGCATGGTTTATTTTTTAGGAAGCTTACGGTCCGTGTTAGGGCCCCGGACTTTCTGAGTCTCCGAAGCCCGAGCGCTACGTGTGCAATCATATACAGTGGTCTGAAGAGTTGCTACTGCTACTTAGTATTCCTTAGGGTTCCGTCCCAGGTTTAGGAGTTTAGGGGTTTATTTTGTAAGGGTGTGTCTCTTTTCTGGAGCAAGTCGTTAGTGTGCCGGTTATTCATTCCTGCTTTGTTGCTTCATTTATGCCGACCTTTCCTGCTCAATTGTGCAGCTTGCTAGGCAGTTTTCTTGCCTGCGTGCGTGTTCTCCGGCACGGCTTTCAGTTCATTGCCAAATTGCATGGGATTCTGATTCTAATTCTACCCATAGGCCCCATAGTAGTTCCTTTTTGGGATCAGTTACCTTATAGGATTTTAAATATGAACCCCCAAAAGGAACTTCTTTGGGGCCTATGGGTATGCTAATCATGATTTACAAATGTGCCTCGCCAGCTGCGCCTCGCAAATCCTTTGCCAAGATCCCAAACGAAGTGCCGGAAGCCCTAAGAAAGGGGCCTTAGTAGCCCCTAAACCCTAAACCCTAAATCCCTTCTTCTTCAACCCTAATAGAAGGGCCTCAAATAATCAGAATTGGGTTTTGGGGCCCAATATACTCTATTAACAATAAGAAACCAAGAGAGGAGCCTTAGTAGCTAGAATTGGGTTTTGAGGCCCATTATACTCTATTTACAAGAAGAGACCCCCAAACTAGTATTGGTAGCTAATTGATTTAGGTCCCTATATAACTGTTTCGAATCGGATGACAATGGAGTGGTTCAATGCTTGCACCGGCAAGAGCCAAAATTAGCTCCTTCCGTCGATTCTTATACAGACCCTAAACCCTAAACCCTATGCATTTAAAGACAATACCTAAGCCCTAAAAGGCAAAAGCCGAAGCAGAAGCCCGACCCAGGAGGAATGTGCCTCGCAGATTTCTGGTGATCTCCTGCAAGACAAGCTGCTCGCAGGCGCCGCAGACGAAGCAAAAGTTCAGCTGTACTCCTGCTGCTGCTGCTATTGGTAGCGCCTGTCTGGTTCTCCATCACTATTGCTACCATTCAATTTTGAAAAAAACCAAAGTCGTCAAAGTCGTCTTGGTTTTTCGAAGAACAGTAGGAAGACTCGACGTCTTCAATATTCTGCAAGTCATGAAACCAGATTGAAACCAGCGCAATTGACACTACTGATAGCCATTAGAAGCTGCCCCCACCCTGTAATAGTGGTATAATAGGAATATAATAGGGCCCTAATATAATCCTATATAATCCTTATGGTCACTATTACAGGGTGGGGGCCCCTTCTAAGATAGCCAGCCTTCCTCCCCCCCCTCCCAAAAAGGCCGGCCAAGACCGGCTACCGTGCTGGGGACCATGGAGGCGCTCAGATCATTGCTTTGAAGAGCTAAAGTAAATTCAGGGTTAGGGGTTTAGGGCCCTAAATCCTAAACCCTGAGCCCTAAGCCCTAAACCCTAAGCCCTAAGCCCTAAACCCTAAGCCCTAAGCCCTAAACCCTAAGCCCTACTAAGCCCTAAACCCTAAACCCTAAGCACTACTAAACCCTAAACCCTAAACCCCTAGTCTAGGGTTGTGCTGATGGACATAGGGCTTTGGGGGTTTCGGGCTACGAGGTCTTTTGTCGGCTTCGGGTCTGGTTTGGCTATTAGGGGGGCTTACGGAGATGCAGTAATGCCGGGGCCGAAATAAATTACCTATACCATTTTTGGGGCCCTGACTATAATTTTAGTATAATGGGCCCCCAAACCCTATTCATCCCTATTCTAATTATTAAGGCCTTGTGTAGGGCTAGGATCCATCGTGTCTCGATATGCCCAAGTAGATGTTCGGTGGAGTGCCGAGCCAAGAGCCCAGGGGTACTTCAGCCTGAACCCATCAAGCCTTAGATGCCAGAATCTTTAAATCCTGAACCCTAAACGGTAATGTATATATATATATATACATGTGTGGGCATATTGTATATATATATATAGATACATAGAAATTAATCTTTACCGTAGTATAGTAGTTAGCATATTATATCCTGCGAATAAAACACAAGCAAAGACATCCAGCCTCGGGACTTGGGAATGGGAGGCCCGATCCGAGCTGCACAGCTGCCTCACTTCGCAGATCGAGGCGCTTACGATTTTGGGGGCGTTAACAATTAGAATAGGGCTGTGGGTTGTTTTGATTTTGTAAGGTGTTTTCCGGAGGAACAGCTACATTAGTAGGATTTCCGTCAGTCTTTTTGTTCTGCATCTTTCGGGTATGATTTCGCTGCGATTGATTCTCCAGCCTTCATCATGTCAGAGTTTCATGACCTGTCTTCCTACCCAAGCAAGACAACGCATGATGGCGCCTTTTCAAAGCTCCCTGCGAGGCCACCTAGTCAACTTGAGCACGATCGATCTCCGGGCCCCAGCATCAGCAAGGCACCACAACCACCACCACCCACCACCCACCACCACCAGCACCAGCACCGGTCACTGGGAAGTCAACACCCTGGAGGAACCGAAACTTCGCACACTGACAGCCCTTGACAAAAGTGTTAACGTCTAAGAACCTTCTAATGACTCGTCCAACCCTAAGCCCTTAACTCCAAATCTCCCAGCCTTGAAACAATAAGTCCTAAACCCTTAACCCTTTAAACCCTGAGCCCTATAAACTCCACGTCCCTCAACCTTGAGACCCTAAACTCTAAATTCCCTTTAAACCTAAACCCTAAACTCCAAATCCCCCAACCTTGAACCACACCTGGACCTAAGGTGAGGCGCCAGAAGCGCGAAGCGAGTCGCCGGCAGCAGCGAGAGGAAGAGGCTGGAATTGGGGAGATTTGATATAAAGGCCTCAACTATACGTTTTTTGGGGGGCTCCTTATTAAATTATACTTGTAGTCGTATAGTGGGCCCCAACACCCTATTCTAACTATTGAGGCCCCTATATTAGGGCATTGGTAGTAGCATTCATCTTTTTCTTTCTAAGATTACTCTGATTTTAAGTTTTTAAGTATTATGGAATGCAATATATCGTTGACACATTCGATCTGCCATGGCTGCTGTGTATTTCTTACTTGTGCTTTCGCAATGCTGTTCAAGTTTGTTACTTTCGTTATTGCTACAGCATTGGCTGTTGGCTGTTGGTTGTTGGGTATTGGTGGTTAGTGGTGGTTGTTGTTGGTGTTGGTGTTGGTGGTGGTGGCAGAGTTGGTGGTGGTTTTGGTGTTGGTGGTGACGGTTGTGGTGTTGGTGTTGCTGGGTTGGTGTTGGTTTTGTTATGATTCTTGTTGTTGTTTTCTTGTTGTGCTATATTGTGTTATTGTTATTGGTGTCTGTGTTTTTGCTACTCTTGTTCCCAGCTATTGCTGCAGACTAGTACTGCTTGTTACCACTATTGTCGTCAGTATCATTGCTACGGTTACTATCTTTATGTTCAGCAACAGTCTTGTCATGCTGGCTAGTTTTTTGATTTACCTTAATCAGCAGGGCTGTTTAATATCGGTACGGTGCGGTGGTGCGGTACCTACCACCCCTACCACCCCTACCACCACCACCTCTACCACCCCTACCACCAGCCGTACCACTACACCCATCACCCCTGCCACCTCTATTTCACCCCTATACTTGCTGCCAGCTCCTGCGGCACTGTTGCGGGTGGTAGGGGTGGTAGAGGTGGCAGGTAGGGGTGGTATGGTAGGGTGGCAAGGGTGAAGGGTCGGTGGCTGGCGAATATGTGGTAGGGGGGGCAGGGGTGCTGGGTGGTAGGGGAGGGTGGAAGGGGTGGTAGGTGTGGTAGGAGTCGTAGCGGTGGTAGGAGTGGTAGTGGGTTGGGAGTGTGGTTTTTGCGGTCCCGTTCATTTCGGTACGGTGGCGAGCAATACTTTACTGCGCGGAACTGGTCTGTGCGGTCACGGTGCGGTGCGGTACTGCGAAGTTTTGTTGTTGAAACGCCCATGATCAAGAGATGTCGGGCTCAAAAGGACTAGGATGGGGCGGTCGAGGGTTTGGGATTGTTCAGGCGGAATAGTGACTGTATTGGTTCTGGCGGTCTTGGTTTAAGTAAGTTCCATATTGGGTACTACAGTACTACAGGAAACAGGGATTACCTATCAGGAAATGTGGGTTCGGGGTTTAGGATCTCGAGGCTCTCAAGCCCACAGAGCAGGAAGTCCTGGCCCTAAATTCAGATCTAGCAGCTCCTAAACCCTAAACCTAAACCCCTAAACCCTAAACCCTAAACCCCTAAACCGATCAAAATCATAAGCAGAAGCCCTGAAACTCAAGCTTTGGCCTGCCTGAGCCCTGAGAGCTTTCAAGGGTCTTCCCCAAGAATCGCGGCAACCCTGAAGCCGACGTAAAACACACCCGAAACGCTAATCTCCATGTCTCCAAACCCGACTACGCTGAATCCCTAAACTGCTAACTCCGCATAAACCGACAGGCTACCATGCTGGAGCTTGAAGCGCAGGATATCGTCCGGCAGAACCAGCAACACCAGGTCCGGGGTGCGGTTTTGTGGCTTCGGGCTTTAAGGTTGCATGTTTCATAGGGCTTAACCATCGAGGTTACTTTAGGGGCGGCATAAGTGCTGCTCTCAGGGTTTGGGGCTTAGGGGTGAGGGTTGTATCAGGATTCAGGGTGCGGGGTTGAATTTTTCGGGGGCTCCATGCCAAGCCCGTAAAACACAAAACAAACATCACATGACAACATCCAACATAGTCCCTCCAGGCCACCAACCAGCTTGAAATGAACACCTTTACAGCAGCAAAACCAAAATCTGAACCGTTAGCGCGAAACCTTAAACCCTACCAGAACCAAGACCTCAATCGAGGCTCTCTAGACCATCGAAAGAGGCCCTTAAAACATGAAAAACAGAACCACGACCTCAAGCCCTAAACCCCAAACTCCAAAACCTAGCCCGAAACCCCAAAGCATCACCCACAACCCCAAACCTCTAAACCTAGACCCTAAACCTCAAGCCCCTGAACCTAATTAGACCCTAACCCCCAAGACGTGGACCCAAAACCCCGAACCCCAAAACCTAGACACTAAACCTCAAGCCCCCAAAAAATCCCTAAACCCCCAAGACCTGGACCCAAAGCCCCAAGCTCCAAAACCTAGACCCTAAACCCCAAACCCTACCGAAACCAAACCCTACCGGACCCTATAGGCCGCTAAGCTGGATGCGCAGCAGCGCCTCAGAGATGCATGGCGCAGCTCAGCCAAACAGAGATTTGTACCACAGGGGCCCGTTTAAGGGTTAGGGTGGATGGGTTGAGGCTTGAAGATTTAGGGGTTTAGGGTTGAGGGTTTGGGGGGTTTAGGGTTGAGGGCTTAGGGTTCGGCTGTAATTAAGGTTTGTAGGTATTTGTTGGTTGCACCTGTTTTTCGGGCTTCATGCTACGGCGTCCAACGGCACTGCCTACACACCGTGTCTTGAGTTTTTCTTTTAGGCTTTCGTGTCATTGCTCGGCGTGCAGTTTTGTTTATGGGTGCATGGAGACCCAATCCGCAGCCCCCTATGTCTGGGGTTTCTCAAATTAGTATGAGTATGGCACAATGGGCCCGAAACCTTCTAATTATTATTGCGGCCTCCGTATTTACTACACCTTCAATCCGAAGCCCTTCAAGCAAGCCCCTAGACCCTAAAACCCTAAACCCTAAACCCTGAAACCCTAAACCCCATGAGATCAGGCCTCGGAAGGCAGCTTCGGGATGTCGACAGGCGAGTTGAGGCCGGCGCCAGAAACGTTGAGAGCTCTTCCCAGAGACTCCAATACCCCTTAATTAAGGAATATTCCTTAAATCATATTAAGGATCCTACTATAATTTAAGGTATATTCCTTAATTAAGGGGTATTGGAGTCTCTGGGTTCTTTTGTGGTGCGTTTCGGGAGTCTATGCTACGGCTATGGTGCAAGTACTATAATCGTTTAAGGGGTCAGGATGGTCAGGGTTTAAAATGGACTGTAATGGTGGAATGGTTAGCTATGGTGTACTACAACCGTTTAAGGGTTTATGTAGGGTGTAGGGACTATAATGGTCTTGGGGGGTTTTGTGGGGCTCCTTGGGAGTCGATGGTGTGCTAAAAACATTGAAGGGTTTAGGGCTTGGGACTATAACGGTCTTGCGGTTTGTGGCCCGCTGATCAAGGTGCTCATTTGGGAGTCCAGAGTGGTTTTAGGGTTTAGGATTCGATGTTTCCGTAGTTTATGGCTGAGGGCTGGATGTCTATGGTGAGGGCATTCTACGGACGGGTTTTCACAAGGCGTTCAGGCGGTGGGTGTTCTTCAGGAGCCTTCTGTGCGCAATCTTAGCGAGCACTCAACGTCCGGAGATGGAGAAAGGTAATTCAGATTTTCCAGTTTATACTCGCAGCATCTTGTCTGCACCTTGCCGCCCTTGAACTTGACTTCTCGTTGATGCCACTTCGACGTCCTTAATGATGAGGAGGGGGCGTCATGACGGTTCTGCTCGCGATGATGCTGGTGCTGATGTTCAGCACCACCGCCACCACGACATGTTCTACCGAGGTTCTACACCCTCAGGCTCCTAAACTACACGTTATCAAACCCAAGACCCTAACGGAGGAATCGTGTCAATCTTGAGCTCAGCTCTCCTCTGCTCCCAGCGACCCTCAGCTTTCGGCTTGCCCTCCGAGGGTCACGAAGCCTTGTGTTACTAGTCATATAGAAGCCCGAAGAGCTATGTCCTCAGGGTTCTTCCTTACTGTAATCATGGTCTAATGTACCCCGAAGCCCTATTCCATATGGTCAGGCCCCTATTTCGCCCTTCTACGCAAGGAGGGTACCAGTCACAAGAATCTATTGCGACCGCTTCTCGCACATGCTTCCTAAGGCCCTACTAAACTTACCTTTGGTTAGTAGGGAATGGAAGAATGGTAGCAATAGTAGTTATAGTTGTGCCCGGTCCTCCATTCCCTACTAACCAAACCCTATCCCTCCAAGGACATCATAGTTAGGGCCCTAGACCCCTTAAGGACCCCATAATAAGGTCCCTGGAGGCATAGGGAAAGGTAAGTAATTAAGCCGTTAGCCGCAGCTCTTCTTGCTTGAGAGGCGTTGGAAGAGGGGCGCCCACCTCCGCGACCCTGTGAAAGTACCGAGCTCTGCAGGGAGATGGGTCGAGGCTACTGGATCTGAAACATATCGTTTCGGCTGCAGGGTTCAGGACTTGAGTATCAGGGTTCAGCTTCAGGATCCGGATTGAAAACGGCAACATGATCAGCTTCCTGCTGGAGTTTTGGAGTTGCAGGACTTACAGGTCCTCAGGATGTAGGGATCGTGGATGTTGGCAAAGGGGTTGCGACGTTGCTGCGAGGTCAACAGTTGAGACTCCGGGCTGTGGGATCGGTTTTCGATATTTCGGCGTATTGGTTCAAGGGCTATCAGCTGAGGTTAAAGCTCTGAGCCTTCAACATTAAAGGGAACTCCAGAAAGTTGGAATATGGATTAATGGTAGGATCCCGTATAATTTACCTTAAAGGGGTTACGATAATGATATTCCAACTTTTTGGCTTCTACTGTACACCCGAACACACCAAGCTCCGCTAAGCCCTACACCCAGTTTTTCGAGCCGACACAAGCGCGTGAAGGTCTCAAGCCTCGAGCCTTCAATTCAACCCGACACCCTAGAGCTCCAAGCACTGAAGAACCCCACACCCATAAATCCGAAGCCAGCAACTGAACCCTGAACAACCCGCCAGCCCCCCAAAAATCCCAAGCCGTCAAAGCTAAACCCTTTCACCCCTACATAAACATTTAAACCCGAAACCCTTGAACCCTTAACCCTAAACCCTTCAACCCTGAAGCCCTATGCCCTTAAACCCTGAGCCCGAAACGGCCTAGGTCGGTAGCTCTCTGGGCTGTGCCCGAAGGCCCACGAGTTCTCGGGAAGCACAGCACTATGGGTATTTTAGGGCAAATAGTACGGCACCCTCATAAATGGGACCGAAAAAGGGGCCCTAATTCAGAGAGCTACAGCACACGGTTTAAGGTACATTCCTGGTCAAGGGGTGTCGGGCTAAGTGAGTTTGTGTCTCGGGCGTACCGCTCGTCAAGCGTTTGGTTTTGGGCTTAGTTCAGGATAAAATGCTTTGCCTCAAGTCCGGACTCTGAGAGAGGTTCGAAATTCTGTTTCTAGGGCCTCAGGTCTAGTTTTGGGCTTAAGTTTCGTTTAGTGCGCTGGCAGCCTTCAGGATTGTGGGCTTTGGGCCATGCAGGATCTATCTTACTACTTGAAGAGCTCAGGCTGGGTTTTTCGACACCACATAAGAAAAATGCCTCGAGTGATAGAGCCGCAGACATGGTCCATTGAAGAAGGATAAGGCCAACGGTAGAGGCATGGAATGCCGGTCATGCTTGAAGCAGCCCTGTGCCCTTACTCCTTGAACTGGTTTCTTGTCATGTAAGTAAAGTCAAGTTACGCAAGTAGGGGTATGTGCCTGGAAATACTAGGAGAACCCTGCACACAAAAGGGTATAGCACCCGAATGAAATGCCGAAAATACCTGACATCCGAACGAGGTGGGGAGGGTGCCGCCCGACCTGATGCACAATGAGCCTAGAGCTGCGATGTTTCACGGCGGAAGATCCTGCGGCGTTGCCAGAGGCACAGATAGCTGGGAGCTCACATAGCCGTTGGGCATCCCACAAGCTAGCTCACAAGCACAGAGATAGCTGTGGTGGTATCTACTCTAGGGCCTTTAGGGGCCTAAATAATTGCCTGTACTATTTTGGGGGTTCCTTGTTATAACTATAGTAGCATGGGCTCAGAATTATTAAGGCCCCTATATTATACAAGTCTCTCGATGCGAGCGGTCATGGCAGTTTCCAGAGATGCCCGGGCAGGCAGCCAAGTGTTAACGCACTCTCCGGAGGATTTTTGCGGAAGGAAGCATGGGAGCCTGTGGAGCTAGCACTGCAGTGTAGTAGAAGTTAGCAGTGTAGTAGTTGTAGTAGTAGTAGTAGTAGTAGTAGTAGTAGTAGTAGTAGTAGTAGTAGTAGTAGTAGTAGTAGTAGTAGTAGTAGTAGCATTAGGAGTAGGAGCAGTAGCAGGAGTAAGAGGAGTAGGAGGAGTAGGAGTAGTAGTAGGAGTAGGAGGAGTAGGAGGAGTAGGAACAGTAGGAGGAGTAGGAGGAGGAGTAGGAGCAGGAGTAGTAGTAGTAGCAGGAGAAGTAGTAGTAGAAGGAGTAGAAGGAGTACAAGGAGTGGCAGGAGTAGGAGGAGTAGGAGTAGGAGGAGCAGGAGTAGTAGTAGGAGTAGTAGGAGGAGTAGGAGGAGTAGGAGGAGTAAGGGGAGTAGGAGTAGTAGCAGTCGTAGTATTAGCAGTAGTAGTAGTAGAAGAAGAAGTAGTAGTAGCAGTAGCAGTAGCAGTAGCAGTAGTAGTAGTCGTTGTCGTTGCCGTCGTTTTTGTCGTAGTCGTGGTCGTAGCAAGAGCAGTCGTAGTCGTAGAAGTCGTAGCAGTTGTTAGAACGGAAAACTGTTGTTTCGAAGACAAGATCAAGCTTCTACCGCGAAAGAAAGCAGTTTTAGAGAACCGGCCAGTTGGCCTGGCCTGGTCGTCGTACCTGCACGGAGGAGGACAGCAACAACCTGGGTCCCCCCAGCCCGTACTAATACCCTAGACACCCCTGCAAAGCCATAAGATCAAAGGGCTTGAACCCAATAGGCCCCTACGAAACCTTAGAAGTCTCGAACTTTCAACCGTCGAACCCCGAGAGGTTCGACACCCTAGGCGAGGCAACAGTCTCTCAGAGACGGCCCGAACACCGGGCCTTCTGATGACTTCGCAAGCACGCTTTAAGGTTTAGTGTTCCAGGTCTAGGGTCAAAGGTTGAGGGGTTGAAGATGTACAGGGCTCAGGGGTCTAAGGCACTGTCGGGATAGCACCGAAAATGCCGAGGGCCTGAACCTCAAAACCTGAAGCTCGACCTGCAAAGCCCTAAAGGCCTACACTTCCCCCAACCTTAAACCCCAATGCCTTCGAGACCCTGATCCCTGAACGCCCACCCCCAAGCCGCACAGAAATTCAACGTGTTGTGCTTCCGGATTCCCAGTAAAGCACTTCAGATTTCTTTGCGTCAAACTTTGGACAACCTGAGGTGAGGTCAAGTTGTTGTAAGGGTTTTGTAGGGTTGCATAATGGCATAAAGTCTGTTTTAGTTACTTTGGTTTGGACTTGGGTTTAAAGGTTTTGCGGGGAGATCTGGAATCGCGAAGGGGGGTGGAGATGCAAGCCTCCGAGTCAGCCGGAGGTAGTACATGGTGAGGGCGGGCGTAATCTAGAAACCTGAAAACGTTGGTAATGCTATTCCTCATGATCCTTGCTAGCCGTAATTGGCTCGCATGCTCGGCGGCGGTACTTTGTAGATTTAATTGTAGATTGTAGTCTGTATGTATGTATGTCAAATGTATGTATGTCTGTATGTCTGTATGTGTTTATGTATGTATGTATGTGCAGTACTATCATTGCGCATTCTGGCTGTATGTTGGCAAGGCATTTTGATTTCTTTGTACTACCCGAGTTCGTTTATGTGCCATCTGTCCTTTAGCTCGTTTTAAGTTTGGTGATTGCCTGAACTTCTTGTTGTTATGCCTGTTGGCAATGACTGATAGTGTTCTAATCAGACGTTGCATATCCTTTTCTCCGCATGTAGAGGTGGATCGAACACTTTATGTTAGCTAGGCTGCCATTGGACAATATAGCACACGAAGAGCAGCGTGTGTGTGTGTGTGCCGCGCCGTGAGTGTTTTTGTGTCTTCGAAAATATTTGAACACAAACAGCATCTGCATACTTGGAGGTTCGCGGGTAATTATAAGTAGGGTTATAAGTAGGATAGGTGCAGTTAACCAGTTAACCGGTATTAATGGACTTATAACCCCATTTGTAACTGCCCATGAACCTCCAAGTACCCTCTTCAAGGGCCTTTTGCAGCCACTCTCTATTACATGGCAAGTCAGTTCTGCTACAAACGAAAGTCTGGTGGCATCGGTTCTCTGCTGGACAGGGGCTTCGGTTATGCCAGGGTGTTGAGAGTAATCGTTTTCAATGGCTCAGCTCGGTTGTGTTTGAAAGAGTATCGAGAGTAGTATACCTGTGAGTCATACGCTGGTATATTTGTCATATACATTCGTATCTATATACATGTATGCAACTGTATACCAGTAGACAGAAGCAGTTACAAACATACAGCGAGAGACACAGAGAGAACCACGATGTTAGGGTGAAGCCCTTTTGATGTTTCACTACATCCTACTCTCGGGTTGTCTTTTTGTCTCCAGCTTCTTCATATATATATATATATGTATGATATTGCAATGTGTGCTATGTGCTAGAAGGTTTTCTGTCCTGCTATCAATATGGGTGCAGTCCTGTAGCCTGACCCTACTACTGTAGCAGTTCTTGGAGGACCGGAAGCCCGCGTCTTAGGGCCCCCCCCCCACCCCCCTTCGCTTGCTGCCGCGCCGAAGGCGCTGAATTGCACCAAGGCGATCCGCGCCGAGGCTTGCAAAGCCTACGAACAGGAACAAACGATGCTGCGGTGGTGGCCATGCTTACCAGAGAGCCCAATACCCCTTAATTAAGGAATATAGCTTAAATCATATTATGCGCCCCCTTATATTTTAAGGTATATTCCTTAATTAAGGGGTATTGGGCTCTCTGGGTTCAGAGTGCCATGAGGAAGCTAGGCTGTTGCTTCGGGGTTGGGGTGTTCGGGCCAGGAGTGCGGAATTCAAGTTCGCAGTTCAATCAAACGGGAACGAGGGTTTTAGGCCTGGGCATGGAGCCCTCCAAACTCCTAACCCATACATGTAGAGCTCTTTCCAGGGCAGGGCACGAGGAGAACCCAGGCGCAGCTTTCTTTAAGGTAGGACTGGGCGTGAGTGCGCTGAGCCTTCGTACGCATCACTGAATGTAGGTAGCTGTGTATGTATGCATGCATGCATGCTTGGGTGTACATACAGACATACATGCAGACACACATACGAACTGACATCACAACTGCATCTCGCATGCTTAATTGCACGAACAGTTGGGCTGTCATGGTAAACAAAACCATGAATTTCTATACACGGTAACCAGTAACAATTATGTAGCAATAGTGACCATTTATCTATGTGTATACATATATATACAGACATGCATACATACATGTTGCAAGCAGCTCTCGTAGTACCTGGTCTCAGTCCTCCAACGCCCAAAGTTTGCACGATTTTGGTGTCGTGTATGCTAGCATTGTTCTGACAGTTTGATGTTTTTACTTCCTTCGGTACGAGTGCGGGTCTTTACATAAGGTGAGGACAGTCTCCGAACGCTGATACCCATTGTAGCCTTTGTCGTATAACGTTGTTTACCGACAAGTTGCCGCAGGAGACTCAAGCCCTCCTACCAGAAGCAAAATATAGGGGCCATATGAATTTCCTATACTGATTTTTTTTTCGAGGGGGGTCGTTATTATGATTTTAAACGCCTCGCGTCGCCCGCCTCGGCCCGGCTGCACACGTATGTGCCGAATTGGTTGGAGGTGTTTGTCTAATGCAAGCATCCGGAGCCTGCATCGCTACCCCGTGAAAAGTTGCCTTGCTGCAGGGAATTCTTCTTGCAGGCGCCATAATCCAGCAGTCAGAGTGTACAGGGGATTGCCTTTGCGCAAGTCCTCCGCATAGAAGCGCGGTACTTTGTAACTCTCAGGTTCACAAACACGAGGGGGGGTCAGGTGGAGGGTCACTGGAAAGGGTATTATGAGGTGGGGAATAGAGGAAATCTGAAGAGGAACCTCTGACGGCTTCGGCCGTTGAGGCGAATTCTAACATGATGCACCCCCCCACCCTATGTGGGCCCCTTAGGTTCAAG